ACATATAACATGTAACTTTTTATACATTCAGTTCTCTTTAATAAAATCTCATATCTCATATTTCAGTAAATTCTTTTTGCAATTATTAAAAAAAACATACATATAATGTCGTTTGGTGCAAGAAAAAATACTCTGTTCAAATAGTAGAATATTTAGATGAAGAACGTCCGGAGGTTCTACTGTATACAATTATTGAAATATATAAAAATTTTTCGTATTTTATGTTATATGTATTATATAATATATTATTATATTAATATCATTGATCAATGTCAGAGATTAAAATGGTAAATGATTATTAGACTGTTTTAGTTTTTTATCCATACAAAATATCCTTCGTCTTTTTATAATTTTCAAAGCTTTAAAATAAATTTTAAGCTTTAAAAAAGATATTAGAAAAGCCTTTTTATTTATAAAAAAAATTATTATTTCTTCAATGAAAATTTACGATAAGAAAAGAATAACGTTAATTACGTTTTTCTCATCGGAAGAAAGTACACAAATGTTCAAAAATTGGTTTATCATTTACATATATAATTCTGTAACGACTAAATAGGGTATAATAAATTTTTATATCGTAGCTGATTTACAATCATAATATACATATAGTTATATGCTATATATTCTGATAATTCTGTGCCAAATAATTTTTGTCGAAGTAACTGGTATTTTTAGTAGTAACATTTAGTAGTAACATTTTTACGAAATAATGTAAAAAGATTCTATTCTTTAAACAATGATTTATTAATCATGACTTAATTGAATAAAATTTTAAATAAAATTGGACAAAAGTATATACATTGAATTTTAATTTCTTAATTTTAATAAAATTTCTGGAAGTTAAAGAGGATTAAAAGATTGGAAAAATTTTCGCTGCATAAATACTTGTTACAAATAAAGTAAAGTAAGATTAAATGAAAAATATTATACAAGTTTACAGAAAAATTTTCAATAATTTTCGGAGTTAATTTTCATGTAATTATCTTAACGCATGAACAAGTATTAAGTTTCTTAATATTATCTATACAATATAATAAGTTAAAACATGTTTTAATCAATCCTTAATTCTCTATCAACATAATATAGTATAAGGTGATTCAGCTAAATCATGATCACTTAAAATTACATTATTGCACTTTGCATTATTTTATATATTAATTAATTTGCATCTACTGGTAGAAATAATTTCCAGAGTTATTTTTTTTTATGAGATTTCAAAGTTAGGTTTATTTTAACACGATTTTACGATTTTTGAGCGCTAGATCGTGGAGTTTTGAAGGATCGTTAAATTTAGTTTACGCCACGGTTTAGAGTAATAGCTATTCTTGAGAACTGAAATTTAATCTTTTGCACATCTGGATGCCGGAATTTTATATAATATAATATAATACAATATAATACAATATAATACAATATAATACAATATAATACAATATAATACAATATAATATAATATAATACAATATAATATAATATAATATAATATAATATAATATAATAACTCAATAGTAATTTAGATAGTTTTCAATAGTATATATTTTAGCCTTTTTCGAATTATAATTTTTGCTCAATAGCAGACCCTGTCACGAACCTCGATCACACGATGAACGAGTTACCCTCTTTGAGTATTTCTGTTAAAGGTGCAGACTATTGTCACGCCTCGGTCTCTCTTTCAGGAACATAGCACGCTAAGAACGCAATAGAAGGGATGAAACGAAGCATCTTAGCACACCGAAAAATTATAGAGTTCAAAATCAATAATGAAGTTAGTTGGAGAGTTATGGATTCGACATCTCCTCAGCACTCTACAATCTTATATAATTTACTGTTCAATAAAATAAATTTGTCCTTAAAATAAGATAGTGCTTTACTCCAATTTTTATTCTCTTAACTTCCGATACATTGTCGTGAAAATTTGACAAATTTTTTTTTTGACTTTAATTTAAAACGAAATAGAACGAAGAAATACAAAATCCTGTACTTTTTTTATTATCGATACGATCTTTTTATTTTTTTTTTTTTTTTTTGCGAAAGTATGAAGGTATTTATGTCAATAAATGTTTAATTTAAAAAATATCTCAAATTCAATGTATGTAAGACAAGGAAAATGTAAATATAAAATATAAATATATGTATATAATATAAATATAAATATATTAAATATAAAGTAATTAAGTGATATTAACTCTTAAACTAAGTAATATATATTTTAAGTTAAATATATTTTTTATAAAACCACTATATATTTTAATATGTTTTCTACAAAATAAAATATTTATATTTCTTCCTAGAAATTAAAAAAACGTATTAGTAATTAGTGGAGCAAATTTTTAAACACAAGTACTTATAAAATGTAGTTTAACGAAGAAGTATGTATATTCCCTTCAAATTTCGAATATACGAATAAACTCTTTCGGTAATTATTTAGAAAGCGAATAACCTTACGAATTTTTATGATCTTGAAATAGAAACTAATGTCAACATTCTGAACAATTTTTCTCTATACATATTATCATATCATTCGGTTTTAGTTTCTAAAATATTGGTATAAATATTTTTGTCACTTCATGTTAGACTGTAAGGACAGTTACGATTGATGTTGATCCTTTATTTCTGCTCTTTGAGATTCGAAGGTCCACCTAATGATATGGGAAATGAAGAACTATGGTTTATGTGGACTATTTTTATTTTTATTGTGTAATAAGCCTGATGACTTCTACTAGATTCTTTCTTGAATCAAAATGTTAAAGATTTATTGATGATTACTGCCGTTATTATTAACTTTTATATTATTAACATTATTAACTTTAACCATAGTTTTTCTTCGAATACTATTATATAATTATTAATATTATTAACTTTTGCCTTCAAATACTATTAACTTTTCACAACTTTTGCCGTATTTCCTCGAAGTCCTCTTTTATAACGAGCCTTGGATTACCCTTTTCAAAAGACTTTAGAATTGGAGAGTAAAGGATGTGTTAAGATCAATCGGGAAATATGGTGGGAAGGTTTTCAGAATTTCTCATCCCCATAAGAATAATTCGGGTGGGATGGTGGAATGGTCTTCTGAAAACTATCCTCTTGCACACACAATTCTTCGAGTACGTACGTGTTTATGACATGGCAACCTCTGGTGCGGAAGATCTTGTCGCATTTGAGACTGACTAAATCAGCGCCTAATTTTGGGGTTATTTAAGTGGTCAAATGGTTTAGAATGGTTTAGAATTCCTGATTTGCCACGCTTGGAGCACATCCATGTCATACGTATCCTTGGCTTTAACACCTTATATCTAATGTTTGGAATATTTGCATTAATTAAAACTATCAACATGGGCTTGGATTAGGTTTAAATGCTTATTAATAGCTTTAACATAACATAAAATTTAGACAAAGAAGGATACAATCATTTAGTTAATCGTAAGATTTTGTTAAGCCACATAGTAATGCACAGTAACAGACAATACATAGAACGTGTTTGGCGGAAAACTCGAGCAAACAATATCGAACTACAGTATCGAACTCGCAAAATACATTATGCATGCATTATACAATTAAATTTTTATTTTGACGACAATGCTATTGAAAGTCGAATAGTTGTTTTTTTAAACATTATGGCTGAAGTATTCCTAATTTTGAATAGTGATAATATAATATAATATAAAGTTTAATATGAATTGTAGTTGTATTATTATTTAATATTTACAATGTTATTTCTCATTCGATGCATAAACGTCTAATTGACAAATTTTTAGAAATTTGTTAATCATACAATATGTTTCGTTGAAAGAACATTTAAATAGTAATTTTAGAAACAAATGTATGATTGTTGCTGCTGCTGCGGTTGACTACGCTTCTGCTGTTGCTGTTGCTGTTGCTACGAGACCTCGGCCTTTTTTCTGTCTCGCCGCGTTTTCTTCCTGCTGACCACCGTGGCCCATGAGGCAATTTCCACGTCGTACCCGGTCACATGGGGCGTTGCAATACGCTTCTCCCTAGGAGTCGTCGGTATGGTAGTCCTCGACGGCGGTGGTAGTCTGCTGTCCCCAGTGGCCCTGACCTTCACACTGGCCACCTCGATCCAATTCGCAGCGGAAGTCGTTTTTCCCCTGCGGACTTCGTCCTTGAACATGGCTAGATCTCTGGCCATAGATCTAATCATCTCCTCCACCAGCGCAGATATCGTGCTCGCTGGGAGAGTGGATCCGCGCGGTGTCGTCCTGTTGTGGGCCATCGTTTCCGTGAGTTTCGGCGAGACTGGTTGTACCCTCCCATGCTCCTCGACGCCACAGGCGGGTTTCCTTGTCACCTTGGCGGGATTTTTGTTTTTCTCCGACTTGCAGGCGGCGCTTTCCAGCTCCGCGAGTATCTCCTGCAAGTATTGTTTCTGAATCAAGGCGCATTGTAATTCTTTCTCCAGGGCCTCGTAGGTACCTTTGGTAAGTTCCTTTTAGGTTGCCCGATGTTGCGGCAACCTTCTCGACCGTCCTCATACACTCCACTACTATGTCGGTCAGATTGGCCTACCCCACCCTCTCCTCGTCTGTCGGCAGAGGTTTCGCCGCTCTTGACGGGCGGGGGGCTTGCGTTGCGGAATCGAGAAAATATTCATCCTCGTCCCGCCCGTATCATCTCGTATCATGTTCCTTATCTAGCTCTTCTCGGGGAGTACTCTTCTTACGTGTCCCCCTGGTGCTCCTGGAATTCTCCCAAACCTTGGGTCTTCCTCTCTTCATTCCTTTCTTCCTCGAAGGACCGTCTTCGTTGGGAGATGGATTCGTTAGTATGCGTGGACTCCGGACTAATGTTCATGCGACCCCTTCTGTTCCCGTCTCGCTTCAGTTGCACTAGTATAGGCCACCTGTCCGCACTCGCGGTTATCCGATAACGATGCGGAGGGGGCCCGCTCTATCACCCCCTCCCCACCGGGCCTGGAGTCTCCGAACCCTCCTGCGCCGGTAATTTTGACTTCTTTATGTTTCTTTCATCATTTTGTTTCCTTAAATTGTTGTTTCATCCCAGTCGTCCTCAGTATACCAGGCCTGGGGTCCACAAGGCACACCGTTTTCTTGCAGTTGTTTGATTTGAACCCTGCTCGCTCGCTCCGACCACGCCGGGACTGGGGACTCCGAATGTACCTGTAACAGGTCCCCTGTACCTGTAACTTCTATTTTTATTTTACTTTCCATCATCATAATTGTAATTGTGACTCCTTCTTCTCGACCACTCACTCTTTCGCACCCTATTTCAAGAGGCCGAAGCCTACTTGTCACAGGGCTCCAGGGAGCACCACGGGGAGGCGAGGCGAGTGGACCATTTGGTCGGTGCAAGTCCTCAACTTCGCTGAAGAGACACCGCCTACAAAGTAGGCCTTACGTGAATCATCAGCTAACATCGAGGTTTTTGATCCTATTCAGGTTACCCTGAAGTCGAAAAAACCTGCACCAACCTTAGCTCCCCAACTTAAACCTAACCGACAAACACGAGATTGATTCTGAAATCCAAATTCTCATGCACCATATTCAGAAGGCACTTCGCTACACTACACAAGTAATACCTGTCTACAACATGAACCTCAGCACAGATTCGTTCCTTTCACAAATAATCAAAGACAGAAACAGAATGAGAAGAAAATACCAAAAGACCGAAAATCCGATTTACAAACTCTATAGAAACATTCTCACTACAAACATACAAAAAAGAATACTTCATGTGAGAAATAAAACATGGCAGCAAAAATTAGCAAATATAAAGAACACCGATCCCACACTCTGGCAAACCTATCGAATTATTGGAGACGTCAAAACTAAAATCCTCGTCTTACATGACAAAATAAACAATATTTTTTACTACACTGATAAGAAAAGGACTCGTAAGCAACTTTGAACAGATTCATCTGAACGCTTACAACATGCACTCTCCTCTTAAACAACAAATTCATCAAAAAACAACACGGATCAGAAAAACCTCTCCCCCCTCCCCCCAAATCAAAATCTTATATTCTGCACATCTAAAATCATCAAAGAAATAATCAAGAAATTTCCTAATAATAAAGCTCTGGGTTCTGACAAGATAACTCTTCTTAAACTAAAAAATTTGCCGAACAAACCAATCATCCAACTCTATTATATCTATAAAGCCTGCATCAAACTTACTTTCCATCAGCCTGGAAAAAGGTCAAATTCATTCCGATACTTAAACCTGGCAAACAAGCAACATGCATCAATAGTTATAGGCCAATCAGTTTTCTTAACATTTTTGGGAAAATATTAGAAAAAATCATCTATCACTACCTCCTTAAATATTTAGACGACAACCACGTCATAATACCTCAACAATTTGGCTTCAGATACAAACATTCATGTATAATAACTTCAAAGAGTAACAGAACACATTATTATGGAACGCAACAAAAATAGAATTTGTCCTCTATAAGCCTAACGTCTTTCGTACGAATAATGCTAACGCTTAGAATTACATTTGCCCGAACATCGTGAATAAAATTTTGAGAATCCATGATGAGCGTCATAATGACTTGCTAGGTGTTGTATACTACTTATTGACTGTCGTGGCATCTTTCTTTTTATTAATTTTTTTTTTTATTTTTAGCAGTTCCTGAAATTTATTTCACCTTGTTAATAAAATGGTATTTTAGATCTATATCGGCTGTTTTGTTGATTATTAAGATATAATGTGATATTTACAGAAAAAGTTTTAAAAAAACCTGCATATTCAATGTTCTACATGGTATTATGTTCTTTCTTAGTTGCTGAGTGCATATTTGAATAATTGGACTTTTAACTCTCGGATTTTTAACGGGATTTCTTCTGTGTTGTAATTCTCAACGAGTGAATGGTGATGATTATATGTTTTAGTGAGAGATTCTTGGATGCATGTGCGAATTGCGGAAATCTTGGCTATTTTGTGTAGTTCCTTATTCTGAATTCTTTATGTTTTGTTTATGTGTAATTTCATTGCTGCAGCCCAGACTTAATGTCCATCAGTGAGTATATTTACGTATTATTATCTATCAAGTCCAGTGTTTTGTTGTTCCGTAATCTTGTACATTTGCCAGGGCGTGTGATCTCTAGTCTTTATGTTTTCTAGTGCTACCAATTTTTATTTCTTAACTCTGTGATTTTTTTTTTGTATTTGTGCCGTGAATGGGTTGCGGTGCAGCACTGGAGTTCTGGTTTTCTTCTATGTCTGTTCTTGTCTTTTAGGAGTCTGTTGTCCGTTATGCAAGCAGGCTTTGGGATGTTTGTGTTGCGGGTGGTTGTTGAGTTACAGTTTCTTCTGTATAAGTTATTTTGTTCGATTTTCCTTTGGTGCTTCATGTTCTTGTTTGGGTCATAGTTAGCAATACGGTATGTAAACAGGAATATGTCTATACTTGAAAATCTACAGTTTGGTTACCTGTGCGTGTATGTGAGACTGTGTAAGATGCTAGTAGTTTCTGGCTTTGGCGTGATAACTCCATTGGCGTTTTTGTTTAGGTTGTTCTAGTTGACGCTCCGCTTTGAAGTCATCTCCTATGATGTAATATTTTGCTCCATTTAGGATGGCGATTTGGTCTAGTTCAGTTGTTATTATCTTGTTTTCGGCAGTGATATATGCTACTCCTATTATTATGCTTGTTAAGTTTTTTGTTTTGATCGTGACAATTTCTATGTTGAATGTTGTTGGTTGTAGAGTGTTTCCAATGGGGAAAACCCGCCTAGGTAGGATGATGAATTTCTAGTAGGACTCGTCCCTTGATTGGTTTTCCTTGCTCAGAGATTCTGTCCTTCCTGCTTATGGTACAGTGATGTTGAATGGGTCTACCAGTGCTAGCCAGGTTTTGGTAACTGTTACGACGCGGATTCGTGGATACGGAGGTCGTTTCCGTTCAGTTCGCTTTCTTTACGGACAATTAGGTTGATAAGGATAGTTGGGGTTGTATTTTCTTGGACTTCGACGTAGTTTTCGTGATCGAGTAATATGCGTGATTGACTAAGTTACCAGTTTGATTCTGATAAGACTTATTCACGTTCACTGTGGCGGAATCGAACTAACGGGAAAGAACACTGAGGAAGGAGTGTTAGAAAATAACGCGTCGAGTGAGTGCTTTTATATCTCGGAGAGTGCTTTGTTCAAGCTTGCTCATTGAACCCGACTTTCCCTATCAGGTAAG